TAACGCGCCGGGAACATTCCAGCACGCTATGAATCGGATCTTCCATGACCATTTAGATAAGTTTGTCGTGGTCTACTTAGACGACATTCTGATCTTTAGTAAGTCTGCCGAGGAGCACGCACAACATGTTGAGAAGGTACAGCACAAGTATAAGGTCAACTTAGAGAAGTGCGAGTTTGGCCGCACTAAGATACTATACTTGGGTCATGAAGTATCCGCGGAGGGGATAAGGCCGGAATATGCGAAGGTGGCTAGTATTCGAGACTGACCAAGACCTTAGACAGTCACTGAGGTCAGATCATTCTTAGGAATGTGCAGCTACTATAGAAACTTCGTAAAGAACTATTCTACAGTCGCCTCTCCTTTGACTAATCTAACTCGACTTGACACGCCGTGGGACTGGAGTGATGAGTGCGAGGGTGCTTTCAAGAGATTGAAGCATGCACTTATGAATCATGAGGTCCTCATGGTTCCCGATCCTCAAAAACCATTCATAGTGACCACTGACGCAAGCCAATACGGCATTGGCGCAGTGCTGGCTCAGCAGGATGGGAAAAAGTTGAGACCGATTGAGTACATGAGCAAGAAGATGCCATCGAAGAAGTTGGCAAAGTCCACCTATGAAAGGGAACTCTATGCTCTATATAAAGCACTTGTCCATTGGAGACACTTTCTATTGGGAAGGTTCTTCTACTTGAGGACTGATCATCAGACCCTCAAATGGATAAAGACTCAACCGGCTCTTTCTGATGCACTCAAGCGATGGATTGGGGTCATAGACCAATATGACTTCAAGCTTGAGTATCTCAAGGGAGAGTATAATAAGGTTGTTGATGCGCTATCACGTAGAGCAGACTACCTAGGTGCGCTAGTTTCTGACTTTGGCGTATCTGATGAAGTATTCAATCGCTGGTGGGAGCCTATCAGGAAGACCCTGTCACGATGGACATCATTCGCAAACTTCAGGCAAAAGACAAGGCCATGGAAAGTGAGTTTGTGATGGCGGACGGGCTCCTCTATCTTGATAAGGCCAGAATAAAAAGATTAGTAGTTCCATCTAGTGAACCTTTGCGTAGTTTGTTCTTAGGAGAATGCCATGACGCAACGGGACACTTCGGCTACAAGAAGACGAGTGCTAGCCTAGTACAATGATTTTGGTTGCCAGGAATGTTCGATGACGCAAAGAAGTACGTAGAGACCTGTCAGGTCTGTCAGCGGGACAAACCGCGAACTCAAGCACCGCTTGGGTTGTTGAAGCCTTTGCCTATTCCTGCTGGTCCAGGACAGAGTGTTTCCATGGATTTCATGGACACCCTGGTGACTAGTAAGAGTGGCAAGAGGCACATCTTTGTCATCATCGATCGATTCACCAAGTACGCTAGACTAGTGGCAATGCCAGAGACCGCAAGAATTGACTATGTCATCAAGTTGTTCAAAGACAACTGGGTGCGTGACTTTGGCTTACCAAAGTCCATCATTAGTGACCGAGATGTCCGATTCACAAGTGAGTTGTGGAAGAAGACCGCAGAACAGATGGGCAGTCAACTTCAGATGACTTCAGGGAATCATCCCGAAGCCAACGGACAAGCCGAGCAAATGAACAAAGTTGTACAACACTTGCTGAGGCACTACATCAAGCCCAGTCAGGATGATTGGGATGAGCAGTTGCCTCTCATCGCCAGCCTGTACAACAATGCTGTCCACAACAGTACCGGTGTTAGTCCTAATCAACTTCACTTGGGATGGAAGCCTAGATCAGCGTTAGACTTCCTCCTACCCGAAAACCGACCCGCTGCAACTCCAAGCACACTTGAGTATGGTGTGCAATATGAGAAGTTGCTGCAAGAAGTTGTCGAGCACATGAAGAAAGCTCAACAAGCAATGATTGCTTCTGAGAATCAACGCCGTAGGCAGTCCACATTTCAGGTAGGGGAACGTGTCTGGGTCAAGGCTAGTGAGTTAGGACAGGAATTCAGAATCTCTCGCAAACTAATGCCTCAGTACTTTGGTCCCTGGGAGGTCCTGGATATAGTGGGAGATGAGATGGATGGTCCCACATATGTCATTCCTGTCCCTGGACACCTACGCACTCACCCAGTCTTTCATGCCTCAAAGCTTGCACCTTTCGCTGAGACAGATCAATTCCCTTCCAGGAGATCGATGCTGCCCCCAACCATGGATGGTCAAGTGGACATCGACCGGTGGTTCACCAGAGAGGAACTGATTGACACAGCTCCTCAGGTGGTGGCAGAATATGAGAAGAAGCTAAAAGGGAAGGCACCTGTGAAGTAAGCATCTCAGCGGACTTTCGAAGCTAACGGGGATGGAATGTGAGGATTGAGCCCTCAAGTAGGGGCCTTGCCATGATGTACATGTTCTGGGCTAAGGCCCCACCAAGCCTCGTGCCCGCCCTAAGTGAAGGCGGGCCAGCAAATCAACAAGAGCCCTCTGTGCCAACATTTTACGAAGTGGGGTCCATACAGTTGCAGCAGGCCAGTTGGTTGGAGTGCACCGAGTCTCGGATTTCAGGAAATGCTGAAAACCCAGGGCCTCTGAGTTAGTTAGGCCCTGGGTACTTGAACGTGAGGCCGACAATGCATGCTGGGTATAGAGGCCGAAAATGCCAAAGGGAAATCGGCCCACTATCTGAATCTGGCCGCAGGCCTTGACGAAAGAGGTGCAACTGCATCCCCCGGGCCTCAACTGTATTGGGCCTGGGGCCCAGACGCAGGCTGAAGGGAGGCCGCCCACACGCAACACTAGCATATAGGCAAGCAGGGCGAGTGGGCGGGGATCCTTGGCCAATGCAGGCATTGCCGGCACGCTGTGCGAGTGCGAGTGTGCTGCGTTGTGTAAAGCTGCGTTGCGCATAAGGGAGACAGGCAGCGCTAATACGGTGGTGTGCTGCCTGAGCGCAGGGCGCTGGCGGCCATAGCCGGGCTGCTGGCGGGCGCAGGGGAGGCGAGGGCGAAGGTGGTTCTTCGGAGGTGCAGGGCGCTGTGTGGGTAACAAGGAAGAGTGTGGGAGGAAGAGGACACGCTCCTGGTGGAGGTGGAGGTCGGCATTGGTGTTGACATCATCACTCGCTGGTAGTCAAGTTGTCTGGTTGCTTTCATTGCTGTAGTTGTAGGCTTAGTCTGTAGAGTAGATAGGGCGCCTGGCGCCATTCACAAGAGAGAGCTACATTTGGGTTATGCTGTTGGTGTTGCCCTGTTGGGCTTGGACATTGACTCACGATTCTTCTGTATCATTCTCAATTGGATGGTTACTCGGTTCCATTGTGCTATCTGCTCTGGCTTTGACTACTTGGACATCAGTGTGATTTTGCATTCTGGATTTCTGTGCTTCGTCCATATTCGTGTTCCTTGCACAATTTTTTTTATTTTTTTATTTTTTTTTTGTGTGTGTGTGTGTGGCCCGGCAAGGCAACCGGGGGCAAGTTGCCCCGGGGCCAAGACCCAGTAGATGTGGTTTTGGTTCCGTTCGGAGCCGTGCAACAGCCCAGACGAAAAAGAAATGAGCCAGCTGTTTACCTGAGGCCGTTGGATCATGGTTTGCCTGAATAGATAGGCTTTATCTATTATGAAAGAGGGGGGGGGAAAGAATACTACGACAAAGTGGACCTGACGATTGACTAAACACCCACAACTTTCTTTCAGATATATGAGCCTTGAGAGGAACAGACCCATGGTCCTCATTTCTAGCCTACTCATATATCTGAAAGAAAGCTGCGGTTGGTTAGTCAGTCGTCAGGTCCACTCTGTCGTAGTATTCTTTTCTTTTTTTTCTCACATCTATTCGGGCTGCCCAGGATCGCCCTCAGGTAAAGAGCTGACTCTTTTTTTTGTATATCTGAGCTGTCGCAATACCCCAAACCAAAACAAAACCACCACCACTAGTGGGACTTGGCCCCCGGGCCACTCTGGTAGCCCAGGTGCTATTTTCTTTTAAATTATTTTTTAATACAAAAACAACGCGAGCAGATGCTAGGGGTGCCAGAGGGTCATTTTTTAATGTAGAAGGTTGATTAAAGATATGGTGGAACCTTTGCACAAGAAGGGGAGGATTACACAAAATATTCAAAACAGAGGCAAAAAGAAGGGAAAATAATGAGCCATACCTCTGTGAATTCACGCCTGTACGTCACATTCTTCAAAAATCTGTTGACGACCGAAGGTGTAGCCATAAACACCATGAGAGGTGATATAATCCTTAAACTACCTTGTCTTATTAATGGCACAGTAAAGTTCACATGTTTATCCACGCGGGCCTCCAAGGTCCCATTTTCAACACTTAGTTGAACTCTAAGGACCAATGTCTGGCCATGCCCTGCACACAAAAGAACCAGACACCATTGCATTCTTTTTGTCATTTTTGTCATAGTTGTTTTTTACTTTCGTCACACTTTTGCAAGGAAAATGAGCACTAGCGAATTGACGGAATTCCAGAATGCAAAATCACAACGAAAGCCAGGTAGTAGAACGCTGTCCAGAAAGCAGAAATGCACTGATATCACACCAAAGGAGAACCAAGCACCGATCTCAATTCGAGTCAATTGTCAATGAAAGCATACTCTCGCCACCACCACAAATGCGATTGAAGCTATCCCTCCTATTGGCGCTCAGCGCCCAGACTACAATCACACAGCTACTCTCTCCCACACTACAAAAAGCCAACTTGTTGACGTCAGCAGCAAACATTGCACATGCAGATGTCAACCATGCAGACCATCGGCAGACAGGGTACGTGCTCTCACATCATCATTTTCATCTCTCCCTCTTCGCTCACCCTCGTCTTCTTCACCAACGTCGCCCCTTCCACCAAGCAGGTGATGCTCCCCACCAATAGACCGGAGCAACCGGAACGAACTACTAGGAGGGGCGGTCACTCCCCATAGTAGACCTGGACGGATTAAAATAAAATGATTCAGACCATTTAATAATCATGACATATCATCTACCATAACATCAATATATGATTCAATAATAATGATCTGAAATTACCTGGGGCTGGTCACTTGTGGATATATCTCTAGACTCAGGCCCCTTTAAGGAAAAAACAAAATAGAGAAAAAGATTCAGACCATTCTCAGGTCTTATATGCCTCGTGCTCTTGTCATTAGGGTCTTGGCACACGGCACGTGAAATGAGAAAAAGTAACGACCTCGTTTCACTTTCACACCGCCACACACAGAAACGAGTGTTGCTTTTGAAAAAGGAGTCGCGAGGAGTCAGATGTGTGTCAGTGTAGCATATCAGAAAGTGAAATGCACTGAGAGCCTAGGATCTAGCAATGACGAAAGTGGCAACAACCAGCAGCATAGATGCAACATTCACAAGGTGCCAATGTGCACAATGCAACGAGTGAACCAACGAGAAATCAACAACAACAACACATTCGTATCATCATCATCATCATCATGGGCTGGGGAGCAGCGCAGCGGAATATTTAGCAATCAAAGACACGTGGACAAACAAACATGGACGAGATAAACTTCGGAAGGGCAAGACATCAGAAAGATTGCCCTTCCGCTCACACACATGGGGAGAGAACCATAGACATGCGAGATAGAGAGGGGAGAGACATAGGTAACCAAGTCCAACCCAAGTCTGATCTCCGAATGTCGTACACAGCCCAATTCCAATGTAGAGTGTAAGTCCGATCTGAATGTCGTGTCCAATAACGCAGAAGGCCGTGTCCAAACAATGTCTGCAGTTACCTCTATCTCTACTCTGATAAAGAAGAAGAAGAAGAAGAAGAAGAAGAAGAACTTCGGAGGAGTAGGAGGAGAAGAGGAGAGGAGAAGAAGAAGAAGAAGAAGAAGAAGAAGAAGAAGAAGAAGAAGAAAGTTAGGCGCTTTCTGCACTTACCTGGCGATGGCTGAACTTGCAGGTACCGCGGAGCCAGCGATGGCGCTGGTACAAGTAAGTCCTCTTCTCTCTCTCTCTCTCTCTCTCTCTCTCTCTCTCTCTCTCTCTCTCTCTCTCTC